AACCACAATACACTATGATAGCCTGAATTTTAAAGGTCTCCAATCTCAAAACTGTAAAATATGGAGAAGTGCATAAAGGGAAGCACACAATGACATAGTCTGAGAACCACATTACACTAGGATAGCCTGAATTTTAAAGGTCTCCAATCTCAAAACTGTAAAATATGGAGAAGTGCATAAAGGGAAGCTCACAATGACAAAGTCTGAGAACCACATTACACTAGGATAGCCTGAATTTTAAAGGTCTACCAATCTCAAAACCGTAAAATATGGAGAAGTGCATAAAGGGAAGCTCACAATGACAAAGTCTGAGAACCACATTACACTAGGATAGCCTGAATTTTAAAGGTCTCCAATCTCAAAACCGTAAAATATGGAGAAGTGCATAAAGGGAAGCACACAATGACATAGTCTGAGAACCACATTACACTAGGATAGCCTGAATTTTAAAGGTCTCCAATCTCAAAACCGTAAAATATGGTGAAGTGCATAAAGGGAAGCTCACAATGACAAAGTCTGAGAACCACATCTCCTCTTACAAAACTCAATTATACCTTCAGAAAACAGTATGCAAAAAATTTGACTAAACACTGAAATAAAACTGGTAAAAATATTGCTTACTCATCATGGGCTCAATATGGCTTTCCCTGCAACAAGAATGCATTAGCAGAATTTCGGTAAAGCCTTTACAACTGTAGGCTAGAGTCAAAAGTGGATTTTTTAATATCGTCTTATGTTGAGGATTCGGTACACTTGCTACATACATTAAAAATGTTCATGCTTTATACACCGCGTAACATAAATTCACACCTTAGATCTACTTTTACTTCTGTGAGGTCTAATTTCCTCTTCCTCATAGACTGACTGAGCCTGTTCAAAACCAAAGAAAAACTTGGCGGCAGCATCAATTTTCTCTTGTTTCTCTTCTTCAATTAAATGTTTGAATGCTGTATAAAGAAAAAGAAAAATCCACCATGCACATTACTTAGGGAAGTTCTGCTTTTATAGAAATAAATGGTTGTATTATGTAGTTTAACCATTCATTTTTGTTGTGAAAAAAAAATTACTATTAATTACTGGTAAATTTAAAAGTGCAAGAACAGATTTGTCTATAACCTCATTGTTTTCAAGGATAATTGTTATTTTTTTACAATCTTTTGTTTGTTTCCATTGCATGTTGGATTCATTACATAAATAATATATCAATCTCCACAGTAAGGTAAAGCATTGTACATGAATACAAAACATTCTGGTTGAATTACAGGTAAGGCTTTATGAAAGTCTTGTAGTTACTAATCAGAGGCAAACATTAAGCAAAAGTAACTTGGTTTATCTTCTTTGTTATGATATTTAAATTGTTTCAAAGTTAAAAAAAGTCAACCATTCATCTTTAAAATAAATCATCTGAACCATACATATATCAAACAGGCTTGAGCTACAGCAAGACACCACTGAATGTTTGAATAATTGTTTTCTTTATGCTATAAACAATCAAGTTTCTTAGCACCATCTGGTGGCAGAAGATAATATTAAATTCAACTTGTTCCATAATTTTATCTTTTTTTTTTCTTTAATTGGACAAGAAGTATGAGATATCATTTACAATACGTAAATCTTGATGTAAATTGTTGATCAATAAGATAGTGTCTTCCGAAATAATGGTTTTCTTTACTTACCTTTATCAAATTTATACCAGAATAGTATACATGATCATTTGGTAGGTTACAATGTCCCTAACATAGCCATATATCACATAGCAGTGGTTAAAGTGAAGAAAGGCCAAAAGGAGTTAAAATAACATTATAGGATTACTGAAAGATTTTGACAAGGATCATAAGATTATACAAAAACTGGCTTTCACCAGGCAACATTGAAATTATGGCTAACTGTCCACAACCAGGTAGATCTGGGAGTTTGATGAACCCTTCACCTCATCACATAAAGTCAACTAACCCTTTATGATTCTCACTATGATTTTTTAAAGTTTTTCTAAGAAGAATAGCTTAGTGGGTTAGGTTCACCCCCTCCCTAACTCTAAATTTCCACTTTAACAATTTGTGAAAATGAATTCTAAATGTATGAACTAAATAAAACTTGATGAGTAAACTGAAATGGATGGCATCTTTCGTCTTCGGACAGAAGACTTTCGAAATGACATCATCTACACTTGCATTTTTCACAACAGGCAATTGCCATCCATTCCAGTATACTCATCATGAATACTCTGCCTAAACAATCTACCAAAGAATAAATAAAACTTATTTCAAATTCTTGTACTTACAAATTTCTGTATAGTTCCGATAGGTTTTTTTAAATTTTACCATTGAAGGTGAAAAAAAATGCAATAAAACAAAACATGAAATGTTGGAAGTATTAACAAACTTATTTTTTCAACATACCAGAAGTAACTGAAGAATTAGTGTTACTCTAGAATTTTAGGACTGAGATATAATTTACATTATCATTTAATATCATTTTAATCAAAATACTACAAAATGATATTGCCAAAATATAATGGAAGCCTTAGCAGTAGTGCTTAGTACTTGCAGTTCATTTCATCACTGTTAACCTTTTGAATGCGTGATTAAATTTCGGGTGGGTTCTTGAAAAGTGTTAGTTATCTTCTAACAAATGAAATTTACAATTTTTTCCAATATCAAAATCCACTAGTTGCGCTTTTGCTCAGTGATATACACACACGCGCAATACTAAGGCAGAATTTTCAAGGATGTGTGAGTATCCCGATTGTCGCACTATGGTGAAAAGTTTTTGTAACACCATGGGGTGAATCCACTTGTCGCACCAAATGGCTATAAATGTCAAGTCAGATAAATCTGATTATATCATTCAAAGGGTTAGAGTCTTCTGTAATCCTCTCAGGCAGACTCAACGAGGTCTTGAAGGTCAAGTTAACTTTTATGTTCTCCTATGCAGCCTTTAAACATTATTCAACAGGTTTCATCAACCTTATAAATTAAAATTTGATAACTGTGCTTGTTTCTGTATTGTTAAGCACAAAGCTACACAATGGGCTATCTGTGCTGTCTTCATCACAGGTATTGATACCCAGTTTTTGGCATTATAAGCCTAAATACTTACCCCTGAGCTACTAGTGGACTAATTCTAGAGAGATGCAAAAACTTTTCACGTAGCTATAGAGTTAAAAGTGTTTTGAAAGAAGAAAAAAAAATGACACATGGTTATATGAAAAGCATAAGAAATTTATACAGAAGAAGAATAAAAAAGTATATTCGTAAATGTGTTCCGTTTGTTAAAAAAATAATGAATGGAATTTTTAATAAAACGAAAAATTCATTTGACTTTTTTTTAAATGTATCACATTTTAAACTACTTTAGTTTCCCCTACATAAACATCAAAATTAGTAGAGATAACTTAATGAGCTAACAGCCTCAAAAAAACATCACATACCAACTGCACAGGGGCTATTGAGAAATTCAAAAAAGTCTTCTACACATGAATTTGAGTTGAAGGGATAATCTTGAATATTTGAATATTCTGGCTCTTCCTGATTTTTATAATATTTATTCCAAGGAGACGAAGATTTCTTTAAAACTCTATCTGCACTACGATATCTTTTCTCTTTATTATTAGTCCTTCCATCCAATAAGACGTCTGAATGTTCGTGCGAAAAAGTACAATCAACACACTTTCTACGAGAGTTGTAAGTTGGTGCATGTGTAAAAGATCTATATCCACATATACTACAGTGATGTTCAAAAGAAAATGACTGATCAACCGAGGAATTAGTAAGAAATGTTTCTTCCCAATTGTACAAAATATATTCTTCCGTTCTTTCCTTGAATGTTTTACTCAGTAAAGTTTTATGTATATCCTTCACCCACAGCATGCTGCACAGCTTTTCTTGCCAAAATCTCGCTATATATCTTTGAAATGGTTTTGGTATATAACCAGGAAGTTTCCACTCTTGAGGTATGGTCCATAAGTTACTAGAGTCCATGGAAACATTACTTTCATCTGTTATTTCTGGACTATCCAACCATCGTCGAAGAACTTCACACACGGCGCCAGCAAACCTACTATACAGTTGAAACGCAAACAATATCTATAACATAAAACCAAGTTTTTATCAGTTAATTATCATTTAAGCGTTCTTTATAAACAAACACATTCTTAAAGTAGAAACCTAAAAATGTATTAACATTTCTTCTGTAATGAGCTCATTACTACAGAACACCATTATTTCCTCTTGTACTTTGTATTTTTATTTTATACTCAAGTCAGTACTTATTAAAAAATAAAATATTTTTGCATAACATTAAGTAGAATAAAGTTTCTCAACATGATCTCAATTTTCTTTTAAAATATAAGTGCTACATTGTAGTGTTTTATACTTTTGTTTACTATATAATTGATTTGTTTATTAAGAAGTAAAACTACTTTAAATTTACTTGACACATCATGATATTGGTTGCATAACTCCGTATGAGTCGTACGTTGTGTTTGCAATTACATTGTTGTCTAGGCTTTACTAATATTGTTGACGTCACATTATTTAAATCTTCAGTATTTTTCTCTATACCTTAACTGAGTATAGGAACTACTGACAATCAGCTACTATTTTAAAAACCGCACTTCTTCATATGGAATTGGAACCAAGACCTCTGTTTACAGTAAAACATATAATATATATATATTTATAGAAGAAAACACTACAAGTATCTGAAATATCTAAATGAAGATATGTTGAAATCTTCACCTAAGCTTAAAGAAATACGGACTCCAAAATCATTTTAATATAAATTACTCTATCTGTGTAACAATTTGAAATATATCCAAGAGTTTAATGTCATCTGTACGTTTCATTAGTTTACTAATTATAAACCTATCAATAACATTAATGTAAATAATAAAAAACAAAGACCAAAACACTGACCCCCAAGGTACTCCAATGGTAACAAGGGTCCAATTTGACTGGTTTGTTTGTTTGTTTTGAATTTCGTGCAAAGCTACATGAGGGTTATCTGCGATAGCCGTCCCTAATTTAGCAGTGTAAGACTAGAGGGAAGGCAGCTAGTCATTACCACCCACTGCCAACTCTTGGGCTACTCTTTTACCAACGAATAGTGGGATTGACTGTCACATTATAATGCCCCCATGGCTGAAAGGGCGAGCATGTTTGGTGTGATGGGGATTTGAACCCGCGACCCGCAGATTGCGAGTTGAGCGCTCTAACCACCTGGCCATGCTGGACCCAATATGCTGTTTACCATCTACCTACTTAATATAAACATTCTGAATAAGTATATCTGATTTGATTCCTATATAATACCATACGTATACAATCTTGTCTAACGGAACTAATCGTTTTATGTAACGTGAGAAAACACTAACAATGATTTAAATGATGACTGAAAGTATTAAAAAAACAAACAAATTGCTCAAAACAGGAAAGTCAGCAGTAACTCAAAAGGAATTTCTGAAGCAAATCACATAGCCCTTCTTAGTGAAAATATTAAATTTAACTTTAACAAAACTAGTTTGACACTGCACATAACTTGTAGCCAAATTTCTTTAAATTTAAAAGATCAATTATGACAGTTGTGAAGAATGGTTTTATATCATCTTTGTTTATATCTTTCTATTGCATTATTTTAAATTTTTTATGCTTTATGCCGTAAATATTCTTTGTATCCTAATGTCAACAAAGGGTAATTAAAGCACAGTTTAAAAAAATTCCACAAGATTTGATCTTTATAAACAAAATGTTTTAAAGTAACTGGAATAACTTGCCATGGCTTGAAGAATAATAATAACAAAACTATTTTTAATGAACACTGACCTTCCAAATTGGTGGTTTCAATCTATCACTACAAGGTTTTCCAAATATATTTCGAAATGAGTCCCTACAGATAAAAACATAAATTATTAAATCTAAATTTAACAGAATATCAATATTAATGAGCAACCATTGCAAAATATTTATAATGCAAAAATACATTGGAAAGTTTTCTGGATTATTATTATTTTTTATTCCTTAATTCTACACCTGCTGCTCAGAATCAGATGACCTACTTAAAACAAAATAACATTTTTAAGAACTTGGCATAAAAATCAAAGAACAGAAATATTCAATCAAGTATGAATATAAGGAAATGTTGGAATGTTGCTGTATGTAACACAAAATAATTCTTTTGACCTAAATTTAATATTTTTGAAATAAACTGTGTCTAAGAATGTTAATCTCAAAATGTTAAAACAGTTATAATTAATCACTGTTCAACCTGCTTTTACCTTTCAATTAAACTACAGGAAATATTTAAAATAGAGATTAATTTGCTTATTTACTGTTAAGTACAAAGCTATGCAAAGGGCTAACTGTATTCTGATAGTACTGAAACCCAATTTTTAGCATTATAAGCCCATATACTTACTGTCAAGAAAGACAAAAGGCCATGAATGATGACAGAATATTGTAATGATGTTGTATTACATGTATGTTTAGTAGTGTTGTTTCATTTCTTACATCTATACATATGTATTGTTAAAAGTGTATGATTCAAGCCCTAAAAACAAGACAGTCATTTACTTGTTACATTTGAAATTCTCCCTTTGTTGATCTATAAACAAGGTAGAAAAAAACATTCTCGTTAAACCTGCAAAAAAAGTAAAGAAAAGCCACCCTCAGGTGAGGTGAAATGAATCTTGGATATCACAGGTGGAGTATCCACAAAGTGACAAAATACTATATTAAACCATGTTAACAAACTGAGCATTTCTGTAAAAGATGATGCTAAGGAAGAATAATACATGATCCCATCCCTTCAGATATTTTGTTATTACATTCTGTAAAAACAATTATAGCTTACCTTGTTTCTCTTGCGTAAAAAGGATCATTCACTGAAAAAAATATTGTAACACACATTAATACATTAAAAATTAAAAACACAATCATAATAAAAACTTTCTATTGCTTATCTAGTTTGAACAAAAATATTAAATCATTTTCCAATCAACAAACTGCATGCACCTCTCCCCACCTCAAACATTTAACTACTCTCTTCCATTTTCTTTTTTTAACTCAGACACAAAATGTAGCACATATTACTATCATGAAACTCTATAGTTAAAGTCTATAGTTATATGAAGAAAATCATCATATTAGAATATATATTCTAAACAAGCAGTCAATTAAAACGACATGGTTTTTTTTTTTTGGCTTTCAAAAAGTATCACACTTATAACCATGGCATAACAAAATTACTAGAAAAATGTTTCATCACATTTGTTATGGTTAAAGAACTTTCACACTTCATTACCTTAATTAGGTCATTTTTACCACAGTACTTATTTCCATTGCTTATTCACATTTTAATTAATTTTGAAATATTTCAATTAAGAAAAACTTTTTAATATTTTTCAAAAGGAATATTTTTGTAGCTCTAATAATTGTATGTTGGAAAAAAAACAAACAACATAAAATACAAACTGATTTTTAGATGGTTAACTTGTAAGAACTGGCCAAACTATGATTGTTTTCCAGAAAATTTATATTTTATTCTAAGAATAAATTCAAATACATAATTGCCACCATGACCTATATGTATATTTCTCAAGATACTGACTTTATAATAATTTTGTTGACTTCCCTCTTCCTCCTTTCAGGTAAATAGTTGACTTTTCTGGGAAACGTGTAATGCACTTTACAAAACACATTAGATTATCATGTAAGTAAGTTTGCATATCATGGTATAGTCAACTATTAATCACTGGGGGAAAGTGGGAATGTAGAAAAATCAACAAGAACAATAGGAAAGTCTATATATTATATACAACCAGAAGAACAGTTAAAAGTTATATTAAAGTAAGATCTTTACTCGACATTGTGCTTGGTTAATTAAACTATAAAATAATTTGGATCCTATATTTTTGCACACACTATATGAAATTCTGTATATTGATTAAGCTGTAAAACTGAGAAAAAATAATTAACATCATGACACAGCTACATTGGATATCTTACTCCTGACTATAAAATGATAAAAACCCTATAACCCGAGCACTTTTTAAAAGTGTCACTTTCATCTGCATCGAAACAGGATTGAAAACTAAAGCCGATAGAGAAATAAAAGAAGCTTATTGGATTGCTAATCTAAACACTGTTCAACCTTGTGGAATCAATCTAGATCCTGGAATCAATGATCTCTGATCACTGGATTTCATGTCTGTCAGAAAAATAATTTATATTTTTTGCTTATTTCTCTCATGTAGGTTGAACCCTAACTTTCCTAAAACTTAATATTTATTTAAGATAATTTTCCATACCTGTTTGTGTAAATTGATTAGCTTAACATCTCTTTTTCAATCAGTGTCCTGGTGTCATCTTTATTTTACTTAAACACTTAAGTACAGTTCTATGTATATATATATATATATATATATATATATATATG